GTATAATGACAAAAAATGATTGCCTTGACCTGTTCTTTCAAACCATGTATCGCACATAGTGACCAGGTCACAAAAGGTCAATGACCCCGGTGACCTGTGACCTTGCAAGTGCAAAACTGAATTTCAGATACTCTTGTGTTTCTTTTCATCGAGGTGAAACATTTCCAGCAAATATTTTTGGAAAGGTCACAGGTCACCGGGGTCATTGACCTTTTGTGACCTGGTCACTATGTGCGATACATGGTTTGAAAGAACAGGTCAAGGCAATCATTTTTTGTCATTATACATTTTTGCATAACTTTAGTAGGAAAAAAGTTACGGGCGGTTAAATGTTGATTTGTGTAGGAAAATGCTCGGAAAACCACGTTTTTCTGCTTTTGACCTAAAATATCTCGAAAACGGAAAAAAACAGTCTCGCCAATTTTTAATATGTTGTTGACTACCAACTAGAGCAACTTTTGGCTATAATGGAATCAAAAATTTTTATGTACTAGGTACTTTGGTGGCGCATCAAAAAATTCAAGCTTAAAAAGTTGACCCTGAACTTTGACCTATGACCTTGGCCACTATGGCAAAGTTGTAGGGCGTCTAATTTACTACAACTTCGTTTATATACACACATGCGCTATCTGCAGCAGGAGCTGAGATATTTTTGATTTTAGAAAACACCTTTTTTTAAAATCCCCAACTTTGAGCCCCTGTAAAATAGGCAATTTTGAGAATTTTCAAAAATCCTTCTAAAATATTTGTCAACACCCTAAGGGCAACCAAACTACCAATTTTCAACAAGATCCGCCGACCCCATGCCAAAAGTGGGTCCCGTTAAAAAAAATAATGCCATATTTTTAAATAATTTATGATTTACTTATATCATCATGCAAGTCACAATCAATTTGCCAACCACAAAAAAACGTGATCCAATTAAGTCCGTTCTCTCTAACTAATTTCTCTTAAATCAACCGCGTAATCTACAAATTAATTGCCTCGTCCATTTCCTTTCAAAAGAAAGTGTGAAATTGGGATGGAGCAGCCAAGAGCGACCGGTCGGTCACTCCGCGCCAATCTGCTCTCGAAAGCAAAAGGCAATGAACTTTTCATGCCTCTTTCCCCGGCCGGGGCACTATGGGTGTGGCACTTCTTCTCTTAATATACTAGATCACAATGAATTATTAATGAGCGCAAGCCTCCAGAGTTGAAAGGCACGCTCTCCAAAGGTGATGTATCTCGTCGCTCTCCATAATAAATGATATGCTAATACACCCACAATGCTCAAAACGACCCGCGGCCGTGCCATTTAAAATATCAAGTCCCGCTGCTGTCACCCAGCGCCAAAATAATGAGAATGGACCGTGGTTTTGCCCAGGGAAATAAATAATCCGGCAGATGCAAAGAATCGGAAGAATTAAAAAGGGTTTGTTAGGAACATTAATTTCTCTGTAAAATGTACACACGGAGGCGGCTCAGCGTGAGCGATGCTTCGGCTAGATAGATTTCCTACTCCTTCTGGAAGAGAGCAATCTTTAATTCCGTTTTGAATCGCATTTATCATGAGCAGTGGAACAAAGGGTATCAAAAATCACAGTCTGCTGCCACTCCGAAAGATGGATTGATATTATCCGTCGAGAGTTATTTTGAAATGCTAACTAAGGGCGAATGTCATCAATAACGTTTTTTGAAATGGTCCACGAGCGGAAATTCGATTATACACACACGCACCAAGATGATCCTACGGACTAGGTTTCCAGTGGTGTTTTTTTGTAAGGCTCCCCTTTGATAAATTTTTAATATTTTTTCCAACTTAAACAAATATAAAATTAAAGATTTTGGTAAGATTTTTTAATAAAGGGCTGTTTATCTCCTAAAGGTGCATGCAATCCTGGTACTAAATGTTCACAGGAAGAGCCGCGAGAGTAAAACCAACCTTCATGTGAAGGTTAAATAACACTTCACTTGTGAATAAGCATATTACACGGTACATAAATAAGTCATTTTTATAATTTTCATTTACTCCACAATATTGCATAAATTTTTTTTACAAGTGTTTGTTGCCAAATAAATAAAAAATTTCTCTCCCAACTATACTTTAAGAAGAATTATTAAAGTTAATTTTAAACACAACTATCAGTAAATAAAGAAATTTCCTTTAAATAACTTAAAGTTATTAAATTGAAAAAAGAAAAATATTTATTTACAAATGTTGTAAAAATAAAATTTGCTTACCTTATACATATAAACGTGTAAAACGAACTATGTTGGTGTTGTTATTGTCTATACATCCTTTAAAAATTTAATTTAAACAATAAATAAATTATTTTTTAATTTATATAAATTGTTTTTTATTTATATAAATTGTTTTTTTATTTCAGAAATGATCCTGGCATTTGATTAAACAATTTTATACACACACTTATTGTTTGTTAAATTGTCTTCTTAAGTTGCATGGAGTCCTGTCACTGACATGTTGCAGGCAGAGTCACAAGGTTCCTGTAAAGGTTAATTTTACCTGCTCACAGAACTGAATAAAAACGATCTCGTCCGACCAAAGCAATATTGAAACATATAAGTAAAAGCTACCTTTTAATGAAATTTAAATTCAAAATATTGTCAATTTAAAAAGATAATTCATACATTAAATAAATTCATTGATTTAAAATATTGTAGTAATTGTCATTTCTAAACTGTACAGGCGTATAACAGTATCAAAATATTCCATTTTTTCATCATTACTCACGTTAACGTTTGAAAAGGGGCAAATATAATTGTAAATATCTTGCAGAATTATGATGCATACAACTTAATACATTATCACACTTCCTAGTTTCAAGCAATTTGTATTTTACAATGTGAAACACAATCAAATTCCTCTTTACTGTGAAAAGCACAATTCCACGGCAAATCGGCTGATTTCCTTAATCAGATTTTGCACACCTCTCGCGATTGAAATGAGATAACGCGATGCTCTTTTGTCACAAGCGAATGATTTTCGGCCGAACCCATTCATTCTTTCCAAACTCCTCTTGCCAATTTAAATCTTGTTCAAACCCTTTAATTTAATAAACAAAATCCACCAAGTCTTGTAAACCAGCGTGATTAACGCAGCCGGACGGAATTCCAAGCCGCCCGGCAACACAACAATTTTGGCGAATTCTGCTCGTCGTTGCTCTCGGGGGATACGCAGCTCTCTCGGTTAATAATTTGGCCGGCCACGCTATTATTCCATTATGTGCCAGGTATTATGATAATTATACAGCAGCAGTTCGGCCAGTTCGGCTCTCGCAGAGGAGATAAAAATATTTCCACGATGGTTGCTGCTGCGGCTGCTGGATAGTCATTAGTGCTTTTTCTTCTCTCTCCGTCGCATACGCGATGTGCCTACATAATCTCGCCAGAATTCTGTCCGCACGCCCATTATTAAATACGCACACACAACACACGGACAAGCAGAGAGACAATAATTACGCAGCGTTCATTTTTGCATCAGAATTTGCCAGCTTCCACCGCGGGATTAATTGCAGGCTTGCAAAGAGCAAAGGCAAAAGAGAGATTTGTTTAAGCTGCTGATGTCTCCTCAAGGGCAATGATAACGGCATAACTTTGCATTTTTAAAGACCCATTCTTATTCTTTCCTACTTTGAATGGTTTAAAATTTCTCAGTAATTCATTCCAAAGTTGAAAATCAAATATGCAAACAATTTGGAGCAGAGGAGAAACCACTCAAATTTTTAAGCTTTAAACATTATCTCTGTAGTGTTTTGGAAAACAACAATAGAAATAATATACTGTTTTATCTCTGTGGGTACAAATTCTAATCAATAATTTGATAAATCTATATAGGTCTTAATAAAAACCAATTAACACAATTATTAAAATTTAAATAAAGTGTTTTACATCTTTATCATTTAACCATGAACCAATTTTGCAAAAGAAAAAACTTGGCAGAGAATATTTTCATAAAATTTAAAATTTTCCAATAGGCATATTCATAATTATTTTAAAATTTTCAATCTAAATAAATGATGATTCGAATAAGTGATAATTAAGAAACCGGGCTAAAAATTAAATCTTAATCATATGTTTCAATAGTTTCTCTAAAAGCTTTTAAATAATTTTAATAAAAAAGTCAGGGGGAGTAAATGTTTATATTTCATTCGTTTTTTGGAGGAGACGCAATTATTTCCAAGTGCACCTTTCCAACCGCCAAGAGAGCCAAAGTGCAAACAGCAATACAATATAAAATGCGCTCACACGTCCCTCTCGCTTATTTACCAAAGTGCATCTGGAACATCCACAGGTCAACTGCACTCGAATAAGCAAACACACACCCCTGTATTGTGGATGGTGCGTGTATTTTGAGAGAGAGGAAGCGAAGCACTTGACTTTTAATAATGACGGTTGATGATGCGGCGACCTGCGAGTTGAGGAAAGCGGCGGAAGTGGCTCTCGGCGGCCTCACCTTTGGCTTCTGTGTGTGTTCCGCTCGGCTTGGCCCACGCATATCACAATTACGTGCGATTGCTGTCGCATTGTTCTTCGCTTTTCTCCCCGTTTGCTCTCTGCAAACACACGTGGGAGCTGCGGAAAAACCAACACCAGCAATTACGTTTTAAATTACCCGCCGCAGCCACAGTCACAATAACACCTCAACGAAATATCATTTTTAATTTCACTCTGCAAGAAAAATCTGTCGTTTTTGCAATTGCGTGATTATATCTCCTTCTCCCACTATTTATTTTCATTTGGCTGTTATGCACCGAGGAAGTGCGAAATTTAAATCATTGTAATCTGCGCCATTAGAATCTTGAAACATTACACTTCACTCTCACATATACACAAGCTTCTGGGAAGAGTCGTGTGAAATTTGCAAAGTTGCAGAACTATTTTTATATGACTCGTCTTCTAAAATTAACTTTTGCGACTTATTGTATTTCAAGAGGAATGAGTTGCAGCCAATTGCTCAATCTGACGGAGATATAAATTTTAGAAATCTGGTACTGATTAGCTGATAATTCATAGCATACCCAGTATTTTTAATGAAGATTGCAATCGTCATACTTGAGCTGACCACTCAGCCATTCACAAAGAGAGGTTTGCAAAGAAACAATCAGCAAAAATGCATCAATGTAAGTGTTTTTTTTCCCACAAATTTAAAAGAATATCAAAATATTTTAATTTAAATGCCACACAGGGGTTTTTGTAACTATTGTCAGTGTTACCCTCATCTGCACTGTAACTTTCCTCATAATCTACACTCCCTTCTACGTCGTTCAACATGAACCGTCTGACCCTTATGCTGTCGCGAGAAGGGTGTTGAAAACTGCACCGTTGGTCGATGGGTATTTTTTTTTTAATTTTAAATATTGTTGAAAATCTTTATCTGCGTATATTTTATATTTCCAGGCACAATGGCTTCCCAAACAATTTACATCGAATTTTGGAAAACAGAATCCAGAATACGGATTTTCGACAAAATTTAACAGAAGACCCGATTTGGGGAATGAAATCTTGTCCCACCTGCCACTCGGACATTGTCCGACTAAAAGAAGGAATTATGGGAACTCAAGTTAGCTTTTCTTTTCTCCACCTTCAATTTTTTAATGATTTTATAAAATAGTTATGGGCTGTTGGCTGCAACTGTGAAACAGAATTCAAAGATGCAGTGGAGCAAACAATGGAACAAATTGACGTTATGTACAGATTTATTGACATGTACCCTGACGTTTTTCAATACGCTGGATCAGCTGCCGGTAAATATATTAATTATTTTTTTCATTAATTACTATATATAAAAAAAACATAATGGAAAAAATTATAGATTTTTTGTACTATTTTAATTTTAATAGACATTGAATATGCACGATATGATGGAAAAATTGGAGCTATGTTTCGGATTGAGGGTGGCCATACAATTGACAACAGACTCTCAGTTTTGAGGAATTACTACAAACTTGGAGTGAGAGCTATGACACTTTCTTTCGACTGCAACACGCCATGGTATAATTATGTTTTTGTGAACTTCAGATTTTACACAAGTAAAATCTCTCTATGCAGGGTTGAATCGTCTGGAATAAATGAAGAGGTAAAAGCCGATCCTGATAAAAATTCGACGGGTCTATCTGACTTTGGACTGGTAAGAGCGAAATTATTTAATTTTAATTTTTCTATAGCTTCTTTTTTTATGCTTCTGACGCACCAAAGATTAGCTTCAAATATTTTTGCCATGGACACGTGTATCATATTATATAAATGTGCGTTATAAAAATCTGATTATTTTCAATTTCAGCTAGTTATAGAGGAAATGAACCGACTAGGCATGATAATTGACCTCACGCACTCATCCTTGCAAACGCAAATGGACGTTTTCAACCACTCAAGGGCACCCGTCATTTTTTCGCATTCGAACGCGTACGCCTTGTGTGACAACCATCGCAATGTGCGCGACGAAGTTTTGCACTTGGTCGTGAGTAGAAACACTAAAATAAAAAAGCATTGCAAAAATATATAAACGTGCCCGACCTCTCCTCCCCAGAGAGACCACGGCGGCCTGGTGATGGTCAACTTTGACGCGTCCTCCGTCAACTGCTCGGAGGAAGCGACCATCGCCGAGGTTGCAGGTTTGTCAAATAAATTAAATTAGGTGCCAATAAATTGACATTGGCATTCCGTCTGCAGATCAAATCAATCACATCCGAAATGTGAGCGGCGTCGATCACGTGGGCATCGGCAGCCTTTTCGACACAACCAACCGGTGAGTTTTTATTTTATCTTATTTTGAAAAGTTAATTCTTTCACTAATGAGAGAAGCCAAAAGCGTGATGGTGGCGTGAATCCATGAGAATAAACAAAGTCTCCTCGTGTACGCTCTTCAGTCACGCCGCCTTATCAGCAAGGTTTTTTATGTTGATCTTATCAAAAGTGCCCAATCGATTAATTAGATTAATTGTTGATATTGTTTAAAATTGATAGTTTAATAATTTAAATGAGTTTTTTTTTACTTCACGCGGCTTGTAAATCATCAAACTCTAAGCTAATGAAATTTGATATATTAGATTTTAATTTTAATTACATATATATTGTAATATTTTATTTAAATGCTGGTTTATTAAGACTAAAAAATTGTTAGCATAAAAATCATGCACATTTTAATGTAAAATAAAAGTGATGAACTACCAGCACAGCAAGAGGGTTAAATTTTTACCTTCACAGGAAGGTTAGCTTTACTGTCGCTGTTTGAACTTTGATTTATCATTACCAGGACAGCATGCTCCCTTAGGAGACATAAGATAATATAAAACCTTTTAAAAAAATCATAAGATCAAAAATATTTATCGATTTAACTAAATTAAGCGCATTTTGTAAAAAAATCACTTATGAAAATTTGCAAGAATAATTTAAAAAAAAAAAAAATCTTCTATCAGGACCGTTACTGGCTTGGAAGACGTATCAAAGTTTATTGAGCTCTTTGCTTACCTGGCTGATGAATCTGACGAGAATTATCCTGAATGGACAGAAATCGAACTGCAAAAACTGGCTGGAAGAAACTTTCTGAACGTATTCAAAGCTGTGGAAGCTGTAAGCGTATTTTTCATCTATTTTGAATCGATTTAAAATTGATTTTAATTAAATTAGGTAAGTGCAAAAATGAGGGGAGAAGGCAAGTTGCCTGTTGAGGAGTGGATTGCAGTTGAGGACCTGACAAATCACACCGAGTGTATCACACTCATGGACGAATTGTGACAAACTTCATTTTTCTCCGCATCTCCTACTAGATTAATTGTAATTGAATATACCATTTTCCGCGGGCTGTGCTGTAATCAGATTTGTAACATAATAAAAGAGTGCACCATCATCCAAGGGCGATCGATTTGCCCGCATCATTTTCACGCAAACATATCACGCTTGTTTGATTAAATAACTATACAAGTTGATACGCGTTTTCCTGTGTGTGCGTTTTTATTATTAATTTTTTTATTAAGCGTTTATATCGGAACTGAGGCAATTTGAAGGTTGAATAATTATTTAGCGGATGTCAAGTGGAGGGTGCTTAACAGGTATATACACAATAATGAGCAGCGTAACGAGCGTGCACATTAGCCGTCAAACAAACAAAACAAGCGGACGAACGCCTCGAAGCCCGCCGCGTTCCGGCCGTTGGTTTTTCGACGAGAGCCTCTGTTGGTGCGAAGAGTGCACTTTAAATAGAGCGATTTGTCACATCGCAGTTGACAAACCACAGCTTGATGCGAGAGAAAATTTTATTTCTGTATTTTCCTTTAACTGGAGAATAAAAACTTGACAATTTTTTTGCAGAATATCTCCAGCCAAATGTAAATTTTGTCCTCTTTCCAATTATTTTTCAGAAACGGGGATACCTATATGAAATATTTTTTATTCTGATTAAAGAAAAACACGTCTCTTCGAATGTAAACAGAGCGTGGGCTCGATCGAGCGTGCAGTACGGAGCACCAAAGGAAAGAAATTGAGATAAAAAGCTGGTTGTGAAGGGGCGCCCGTCGCGGGCTGCTGCTCCAAACACCCACTCGCGCGCTATCTCACAAACACACACTTATTCCGAACGACTCCAATTTTCCTCACTTGTTAGTGAGCGACCACTGCGAGAAGTGCAGCTCACCTTGAGTGCATCAATTCTTCTGGCTTAAAGAGGATGGTACCACCTTAGGGCAGCAATATCCTCCACAGAAACTGATAGTTTAGGCCATAAGGATCATTTTGATAACCAGAAAAATGGGGGTCACCCCATAAATTTTTGAGAAAAACGCGTTTGAATTTAACATGGTTCGCTTATGGACAATTTTTATGAAAATCATTCAATCCCATTTTAAGTAAATGAAACTAACTTTGCCAAAGGTATGTGACCCACCAACATGTTCCTTGATAACCCTGCCACAGATTTGGCACCAGAAAATTGGGGGTCACCGCGTAAATTTTTGAGAAAAGTTTGATTGAAGGTCAAAAAACGTGGTTTTTTGCATTTTACTCGTTTCCGAGAAAGATAAGCTAATTTTTAAGCGCTTGGAATTAATTTATTTCTACATATAAATTTCATGATAGTTCGTATTTTGGTTCCAAAAATACCCAAGTAATTAAAAAATTTCATATTTGTCAAATTTCAATATGGCCGCCGGAGATACTTAAGGGTTTATTAAAACTGCTGCCAAATTAATTAGGGTGAAGATTTTTTAATTTCCTTGAGAGGAAGTTTGAGTTAATGAACCAAGGTATCTTTTCTCAATGGTCAGCAAGTTTCTAGGTCAAAGGTCATTGACCCTGGCCAAAGGTCAAAATATAAAGTTTTATGCCCCTTGAAAATAGGCAATCTGACAAAAAATCCAAGATAGCCATTAGATGCGCCTTGTCATTTTGCATCCGAATACAAATTTTCAAAATTTTTGAACAAGCCGTTTAGAAAATATTATAGAGTTATAAACAGGGTCCGAACGACTGAAATTATTCCGTTCGGATGAGTTAAAAATTAGAAAATGATGCTTTTTTCATCATATTTTAAACAAATTGAGTATGTTTTATTGTATTCCATTAAAATTTGAAGGATTTGAAAAACATTTTGTAGAAGGTTTCATCTACTTTAATTGGAATCGATAAATGTCAAAGACGGCCGGAAAATTCTTTTTTTGCCGTGGGTAGAAAAAATTAATAAAGTGGACATATGTCACACCATTGACATTGAATCTTTGCTGGAAATTGCTTTATTTAATATTAAGTAGTGCATGACCTAGTTGGAGAGAAAAACGTTGCTTCGATGCTTCGCAGACACACCGTACAACTTGCAAATCAGTGAATTTGTCACATGTATATCCCATTCAATTCACTTTTTGCAGGATAAATAGCATTTTTTCAGTATTTAAAAATATCAAGATTACTCATTAAGTTGCATGCATTCCTGATACTGAGAATTCACAAGCAGAGCTACGAGAGTACTTCCAACCTTTCTTTGAGAGTTAATCTTACCTTTAAGCAGAGTTAAAAATTGGAAGCTAACAATGTTATTAATTTCTTATTGTAAATTAAATTTGTGTTGAAGAATAATTATATTTTCTGCAGGAAGAACTTTCTTGCTTCATTTTCTAAAGTAAAATTTGTACAGAATTTTTTTATATCATTTCCAACGCTTTAAGATTTTTAAATTAATATTTAACATATTTTGCATCCGTTTCTTGCTGGACCCGTTTTAAATTTTATAGCTAAATTTCGTTATTTAATCGTCAATATTTATATCATATTTTTATGGATATTATAATGAAAATATTAAAATATTATTTAACACTGCTCACGCTATAGTAAGTTTATCTCCAAATGTGTATGCGATCCTGGCATGGACATATCGCAAGCTGAAACGCGAGAGTAACTCCAACCTCCATGTGAAGGTAAATTTTACTTCCTCGTTGAGTTGGAAAGATGGAGTGCTCAAATATTACCTATAATTTGACATGCGTTACCTTTATCGGTGACGTATTTAATTGTAGAATTGTATATATGTAATATTATTTTTTTTTAATGTAAGTTGCTATGCAAATTATGCAATTGATTACAGTCTTTTGAATAAAAAATTTGAAGAACAATTTTTTTAGGCAACTTTATTTTATTTGTAGTATAAATTAAAATGCTTAAGCGCGAGTGGTTACTGCATTTTTGTTCTTTGCTGGCAAAAAGCTTCCTCAGAGTGAAATGTATCAACACTTAAATGCGACGCAATCCAATGATGGACTAGTTATTGTTAAACACAAAAGCGTTTTTCATTATTTACATTATGAATTTGCAGCTTTTCTTCCAAAGTTGCATGCAGTCCTGATACTGAATGTTCACATGAAGAGTTGGGAAAGGAAATCCAACTTCCCTGCAAAGGTTACCTCCACATGCTTTGTTAAAAAATTTTGCTTCTAGGGATGTTTTAGGAATATTTCAGAAAGCAGATCACAAAAGCTGTTTCAAAGTCAGGCTATGTTTAGGCAGCTGTGCTCATATCCACGCTCCAGCATTCGTTCCCATCGTCAGCCACGTGTGTGAAATTCAAATTCAGTTCCAACCACAATGAAATAATAAAATTCCCTGCGTGCCCCTGAAATGCATTTGTCATTCAAATTTCCAGAAATTTCTCCTCCACTGCTCACACAACAAAAGACACATTCCGAGAAATAATTGGGCAGAAAACCAACTCTTGAGGGAATAATTTTGGCTCGGGCACAATGCATTGTGCAGCACGCGTGGTGCATCCCCTGCCACTAATCCCGGGTCGCGCGAGTCTGGCACGAATTTTGTGACTGCACCCGAGGTTGGCGGCTCATAAAGCTAATGAATTCCACGGCATGAGCGATATAGAAGGAAAGGTGTGCACGAGAGACACCTCGCCGAATCCATTCAATTTCCCGTTGAGGGTATATTTACACACCAATATTTCACGCCCGCGGGACTACAAACATCACAATATCAGCTCACAACTCAATTAGCGTAGTGTGTTGTTTCGCGCAGCATTCCTCCATGGTTTCGAAACAAGAATTATATGGAAATTACTCGAGGAAAATATTGAATTGTTTTGTTGCTGGCAATTCATGTGTGACAAATGCGCGGCTGGATTTTATATGTGAAATAATAATCCCTCGGTGACTGCGGCGCAGACTGGGATATCGAGCGGCGCTGCATTATTAATTGGAAAAGCGGCGCCCGAGATGAAAGTTGCTCTCGGTGCCGCCGCCGTCGCGCCCGCAATAATTATTATATTAATAATCGACGCCGTGGTCTCGTTATTAACATTGGATGTTTTGCTGCTCGCCGGCGCTTGCGATTAATTAATTAATTCTGCATGCGTGGTTATTATTGCGCGGCGTGCAATGCGAGAGAGGATTTTAATAGATGTTGTTCTCCAGTCGTGCGCGTGACTCGTGCAGCTTCCAAAATCGCCGAACAACTAATTCTTTTAAACATTAAACCATATCAATCAACTCGCTCTGATATTAGTTAATTTTCCACATCAGTGTTAGCTCAGGCAAGGTTAATTAGTACATATTTTAATTGAAAATTCCTTTTTGTTTGTTTTCAACATTAAGAGGAAAAATATATATATTTTATATATATACGGGCGAAGAATAATTTCAATAACAACTTGATATTCTCAGCTTAACGTAGAAAACGGGAATGGTGCCAGAAAATATTCCTTGTGTAGGAAAAATAAATTATGATGACTCCACTAAGCAATCATTTCCTTTCTGTCAGTCATTTATGGATTGATTTATTCAATTCTATTTTTGCCATCTTGTTTTCGTTCCATCAACTCTTTGCAGAATATCACGACAGAGGTGATTAATAACTTTTAATCGGTTTGATTGACAAGTAATTCCAACGAGAGACTGGTTGTAAACCGCTCGTAATTAATTCCACCAGAGGACATAATTAGACTTTGAGGTGGAGCGTTTGCCCAATAATGGATGGAGCAGGAGAATTAATCATGGTTTCCTTTAGCGTGGTCTCTATAATAAATTATTACAAAATTTATTCTGCAGAATCAACTCGAACAGCATTTAGGAAAAATGAAGAAAAGGCGTATGCATGTTCCAGTGTAATTAATCGTCAAGGTACTTAGCGGAATTTTCGCTCCGAGTCATTTGCATGCAAAACGTTTAGCTGCACTCAAATTAATTTCTCTCCAATTTTCACTGTTTATTCTCAGCTCACGGAAAAGTATTTAGCTGCACGTAATTTCTTGTTAAAGAAAAAAAACGATAATGCTTGGAAAATAATTTTTTGCTTTTTTTAAATGAGCAAAAGAAAAAAAATATTTAGGACTCTTGAATAATATGAAACAATTCGTTAAGAAACATAATTTTCTTTATTTTATTATTGCAAAATATTGTATCAAGGCCCTTGCTGCTCGCAAAAGGAAATAAAAGGCCACACATACACACTTCGTGACGTCTCTCGCGGAAAAACAATGCAAAATTCCGGTGGAGAACGGCCAAGAGTTTTGCTGGCAAATGATGCCCTCTCGCAGCTCATTTCCATGCAACACGACTTGCGACCTTTGAGCCCTCGATATTAACTTATTAAGGCGAAGACAATACAATATATTTGTGTATTCCGCAGCACACAATGTTATAAGAGAGCATCAGAGGAAAGGTCTCGGCCCTCAACAATGGGCTTCTTCGGATTCACCGCGCCACCTCTCCAATCTCATTAGGATTCAGAGCTCTTCTTCTTCAATAACACGGCTGCTGCCCAAGAGCAGCGTACAGAATTAAATTTTCCTACTCCTGCTGGCCGCCCTGCAGTGGCTTTCCTTGAGATTTTCTTTCGACTTCTGGCAGCGGGCGGCCAGCAGAGAATATTAAAAAATAGGGCGGGGTGTCTCATCTCTCTCTCCCAACACACAATAAACCTTTGTGCACGCGGGGAAAAGCAACAATCTAATTCTGGTGTAGGATGATTCGGGTTTTACTACCGGGAGTAATATAATATATATAAATTGGAGCAAGAGGGAAAATAAAACTTCATATATGCGTGTGTGTATGTTATTGGCTCTTTATACTGCCTTATAATTATCATCGGACGGGAAAATAAAAATATTGAGAAGCTCCTTGCCTCCCGCTGAATGTTTCACTCCTTAATTAATGGCTGCTGCATTCTTGGTTTGAAAAGAAATGGAAACAAACCTATTGGGATGCTGGCTGCATGTTTTATTGCCGCGCAGCACCCCTTCTTCAAGTTGTAAAGCGTTTGTTAATTTATGCTTTTGGGGCCGTAATATTGGGGCAGCGGGGGCCAATTTTCGGCTGCTGATTTATATTTTTTTCCTATTCGTCTGTCTGCCGACTTCTGTTGATACAATGGGACCTCAAAAGAAGAATTTAATTTGGAAAGCCCACAGGTGTTTACACATTATTGCTCCTGTGGATTTTTATATTCTTTTTCATATAGGAATCCTTTTTTTACACCGGTGTGCATGTTTTGATATTTTTTTCTTTTTATTTGAAAAACCTGAAAAAAGTAGTTATTTGTGCTCCAATTAAGAGCTCAATCGGACCCAAAAATATAGCAAAACATTTTACTGCTCGGGCAACTTTTCCTTGGTTTATTCGCATGAACGAGAGGCTAAGAGCTTTTGATAATTTTACAAGCGGTTCTGCTTTATGGCAGGAAATTGCATGTACGCTCAAAGTATAGCAAACAACATGCACCCGCTCTATAAAGAGTATGCCCTTGGTTTGAGCAAGTTTGTTTTGTTTAAACGAAAAATCTGCCGAGATGAGGTGCAAAGAACCGTCGCGTTTCGCAACGCAAAAGGTGGGGTGTGTATTAATTCAGGACTTTTTCTTCCCATGTTTTAATTTACAGCGGGACATCGAGAGGATCTTCTATATGCAGGGAAATGATTTTATGGCCTTGGCGCCTTGTTGGACAAGAGCGCAATATTGCTTCACAGCCATAAAGTTGTCGATGATATATTGCATTAAAATGTTGAACAAAATGGGTCAGATGCGAACAAGTTCAATCATCTCTGCAGAGCATAATTATTTCTGAAAGCACCCTCAAGAGACTCTTTTCAATTTTATTTTTCTTTTCACGCATTGCGTAGAATAAATTTGATCTATGCACCGCGGTGATGATCAAATACGCTTACACTTTTTATCCATTAAAAGTTCTAATTTCAATCTCTCTTTCGTGAAAGAAGGATCGAATTTTCGTCCAGCTTTGTGCGCCCACCTCATTGTCCCTTAGAGCCCTCAAATGTGAAACTCAACACCATCAGCACTCTCTGCGCGTATATGCTGAGGAGCCGATGCTCTTTTGAGCGCCACTAAATACATAATTTCTGGTGTGTGTGTATCTTCAAAAGTGCTTTTCACCACCGGTTGCTTATTATTGAAAGCACTTTTTTGTTGGCGCCGCCGCGCATAAAGTAAACTGAGATTTTTTCATTAGGCCCACAGTCTTGTTTACTGAAGCTTTATTTTCTTTTCCTAATACACTTTTTAACTCTCTCAATAATTTAATTAAATTAAATTAATTTACAACGAAAAAATACACGAGGGTTTCATTTGTGAAAAAGAGATTTTCGCCTGGTAAATTATGTGAAGTATTATATATAATGTACAAGATAAACAAATAAATTTCTTTGAAAACTATGAAAACACTGAAAATTAATTTAAAATTATTTCCACTGTTCATTTTGCTCCAGTCGTTACCAAAATAAAAATAATAATAAAAAATTGAGAAAAAAAATACATTCAAAATTAAATGTCAATGTTGGGTTTTTAAAAGAACCGAAAAAAACTGAAAAATATTCTTTGGCTTGTTCAAAATAGGAAAATTTTTATTCATAAAATTTACTTTCGAACATCAGCATGAATGGTAAAAATTTAAATAAGTTTTGTTTATATTTCGTTCCATTTACTTTTTATTATGTCTGGAGTGAATAACGTAATTTCTCTCTAGATTCTCTAGACTAATTAAACTCTTGGCAATTAATTAAATTTAATGGACGGTTCTCCCTTTCATATTTGTGCTCAAACTTGTCAAAGGCCCGAGTCGAGTCCAAAACAGAAAACTTTCAGGCTGCGGTTCCATAATACGCACAGACGAGAGGCACCACAAACACAAAGTACGAAAAGTAAAAAAAAAAGTGAGCGCGCGGCTGAAACGAGGAAAGAGAGAGAAAGAGAGACGCGCGTCTGCGTCTCAAACAAACCGGTTGCCTGCCGACCGGGGGCTGTGGTGGAGGGGGAGGCGGTGGCGCGGCCGAGCAGCGACTGCAAAGACCTGCAGCACATTGGGCCCAGCTCTCGTCGAGGAAGCAGCGTGCGTGCGTTTTTCTCCGAGCCAGCGAGTGCCGGCACCGAAACCAGAGGACACAAAACCAAAACACACCTTTGGATTTGCAGAAACTTTTTGTGCAGTGCAGCCGATTATGCGGCTAAGTGCGTGCTAGCCCGGATTAATTTGTGAATAATTCTCAGAGAATTTTGTCAACGAGTTCGTTCACCATGGGGCCATTTTCGGCACTCCTGTGGATTTCCATCGGTGAGTTTGAACATTTTTTAATTCCTTGTCCGCGTTTCGGCACCGATTCGCAACATCAGGGCGATCCGACCTGAGGTGACTTGAATGCTCGGAGTTAAAAGTGGGCAGTCGGCGCAGAACCAGTTTCGAGCGCCTCCAGTATCATATGTACTGGTTTTCCGCTTTTTTTGTCCCTTCAATCCGCGAGACGAACTGGGAAATAATAATAATCGTTCCCAGAAGATATAAATTGTAATTTTCGCGTCCCCAATTCCAAAGTGAGGCGTCAACTGGCTGAATTATTTTCATATAAAAAGAAACTCTCTGGACAGAGTCACGACTTTTACTATTTTAGGCGAGCCTAACGTGTAATTTTCAATTATTATTCACACACATGTTTGTTCCTTCGTCTCGTGAATTTTCGGTAAAAGTTTGTGTGCGAAATCGAGAAATTAATATAAAATGCCTTTCGAGTCGAAAGCGAGAGATTTAAAGTCGCATTGTCAAGCGCAAGTGAAAGCTCTTTGTAATTGTTTGAAACCTTGAATTCACGCTCTTTTCCTTTCAAAAAGTTTCTTTAAATAATTATTTTTTTATGTAGTTTGACTGACAAGCGAAATTTGTCTTGGAATTATTCCATCTCCACAATTTGGACCCCATCCACTTCTTTTTATTTTTTAAGCTGGCTTGAATAAACAGAGGGAAAACCAAAAACGAGCTCACCCTCTGCCTCTGTTCTTATTTTTTTCTCTCTCCATAATCCTTAAGACAATTCCACATGAATACCGAATGAGGCGAAAAATTGGCATTTTTCTGATTACGCGCCGATGATGATCACAGAGCTCGGACTCGTTAGGGGATGCTGGCGGAAAACGACGGTTATTCCGAGGGGGCGAGAGGTGTTTGCTGGCACTAGCCCCTGCGAGGGTATGCAGCGTGCCGGGCACACAAGATGCGGGCCCGAAATGATACAATCGGAGCGGAAAATAAATAAATTTATCTCGGCGAGATTATGTTTTGCTCGGCCAGACCTTGAATTGCGATTCAATGCACGAGGAAAAGCCAAGAACAAAGGAGAGATGAATGTAAAAAAGAACCGAAGAGATGTAGAAAAAAATAATGCATGTGTGCAGAACGCACGTCTGCTTGCAACACACGTTCGTACCGCGAATGGAAATGAACAACGACGATTTTATCTCCGGTGAGCGCCTCTTTCTTGCGCAAATTGAATTTTACACCGTGTGCCGAGGAAACATTACCATAACAGTGTGCGAAATGCAAGTTTTATTTTGGTTCAATGCCACAGTTTTCCTCACGTGGCTTCTTCATCCACATAAAAGTTTATCCTAAATAATAATAAAAAAACACACACAAGGTTGCTAGAAATTTTACCGAGGATTGGTCGTAAATTAGGCCAGTGCTTTTTCTAACTAAAAATAAGCGTTTGAATATTTAAAATGCAAATTTCTTATCAATGCCAATTTGCAAATTGAGGCCTTGGAGACGAGCACAGTTTACTCTGCCAATTATTCTATTGTGTTTGCGCGCAAAAAGGTGCTCGCCGCAATCGATACAAGTCCTATCAACAATGGTTTTTTGTGCGATTCACCGCAATGGAAATTGTTTTCAGTAAGTGGAGCTGAAAAGAGTGGTGCGATTCAAAGGCGCACACAAAATTTTTTAATCAGTGGGGAGGCGACACTCGCTCGCTCACAGTGTGCGCATTCAAATCTCTTTATTATTTGGCGACCGCTCACTCCAAAAGCGACGCCCAGTGTTTGCACTTAATCCTGGCGGTGCTCAAAACGAGGTGGGTTTAAGTGCTGTGACCTCTCACCGAGACCATTTGCAAGCGTGTGGCCCACGAAATGATTTAATCAGACCAAGTCTGCAACTTTGCTAATTTGCCCGTCTGGATAATTTTAATTTAAAACTAAAATTAAAAACTAAAATAATTTAAATTAAATAACTTAATAAATTTATAAAATGGAAATGTAAAAACTTGAAAAAAAGGTAATAAATAATTAGAGGAATAATTTATTTCAATAATTATTTATTTTGTAAATTTGAAGAATGCAAAACTACATAAAAGTAATTTATTAATTTTAGAAGTACCAAAAACCTTATCTTTTAACATATCCAATTTAAAAGCCGTCAGTTCGTCCAAGCACAGTTACTTTAAAATTTTCTGCGTTACGAAAGCGCTGCATTATATCTTATTGTATCGTTTTTTCCGTCTGCTTTTTCTCAAGCGTCGTCGGACGCTTGGAGCCTAGAGCGGTCGTTCCGGCACCGTTTTGATGCCGAATACGCGAGACGAGTGTGTAAAAACAAAAGTGCTGTGCCAAAGTCACGTTTGTTATGGAAGTCGAGCATTACGCTGCACTCTCTGACATCACAGAGATAATCACGCCCGGCCAACATTCGTGCCACAGCGACACTTCTTCTTCTTCCTCTTTTTCCATTGTGTTTTCGCCGGCAATTCGTGCACAGGTGCCGCCAATCTTGCGATTGCAGTGATGAAATGTCGGTGCCTCTGCTCTTGAATTATAATTCCAACGGAGGCAGATCGACGCGTTGATTCCGTCCTCTTTTGTCTTTTGCTGCGTGTAATGGCGTTTTATCAACTTTAATGAGCCCGTCGACCTTTCTTTTCAAAAGGTGCTGGCGAAATGAGCCGGAACGCTATACAACAACTGCAAAAGAATACTAATTCAAAATTAAATTAACTTTCTCTGAAATGAGAAAAAAACTGTCTTAAATTGCAGCGGTTTATTTTTCTTTGTTTGCTGAATTACAAATTTTCACCTTTGCCCAACAAGAAAAAGCCGCAAAACCAATTTGCCTCTTAATAATTTTCTCTTATTGTAAAAAAATCTCCGATAGAAATCTGCTAATTTAATTAAACTACCAAGAGAGCCGTTTTGTGTTGTGTCTGACTGACTGACTAAGAGAAAGAATCCGCAGCTGCATCCCGGCCAGCCAGCAGATTACCATTTTTTTAATTCCAAGTAAACGGTAGTTGGTCGCGTCGATCTACGTACGAGTTTCTCTTGGCCGGCTCATTGGAGAACGGTATCTCTTCTATATAGGCCCTGATGGATATTGTAATGTGCAGCGCAGCAGGCCTACAGTTAGTTACGCGCGCCGAGAATGGGGTCACCTCTCGAGGGCCTTCCGAGCAGGCAGGGGTCAGTGGGAGCCCGCGAGATACGCGAAACGTTATATAAAATTACAACGCTGCACGAATTAAAATGGCTCACAATGGAAATGGAGCAATTTTTGCCTCAGAATAGGAGGAAAAAATTTTACTGCTATATTCCGTCGCGGCGGGATGCAAATGGATTCATTTTTCAATTCGATGGATTGGATCGAGTGGCAAATTGAGCTGTCGCGCCGGGTTGTGAATTAATGATTGGGCCGCATGCGGATTAATTGCAGGCTAATGGTGATTGCCAATTTCCGGATTAATCATTCCGAAACCGAAATGCACTGTGAAATATTGAAAAGTGGAAATGAATTCAGGAAATGAGCTCAATTTCTGATCCGAGTTATTTTAATTAAAAATTTCTGAAGTCACTGAATGATACTTACAACTTACAATTATAATAAAAGTTCCCTTCTTATTTCTCGGAGAAATAATCACACTTAAAATCTCTTTATGTGTTGCCGTGTAATTTGAAGAATGCGGTCGAAAATCTACACCGGTCGACTCGAGCGAAAAATTAACCCCTTTTGTCGTGACGAGAAGCCCGGCAAGCGCTGCGTCAGCTCTTTCGAGAGCAAAAAATAATATTTTAATTTGCATCTGTTCTCCATTTTTTTTCTTAATTTTTATGCTCACCAGACGCGACTATCAAACCAAACACATGGCGGACAAAACTCATTCATTTCGTAAATACACACGCGGGCCGGCTGCTTTACATAAATCCACACGCGGCGTTTTATTTTTGGCTTTTGTAAACAGAAAGCGAGAAAGGAGCCACTGGTCTGTGCGCTGCACGATAAGGAGACTTACAGCAATCACTCCCGTGCTTAACAGATTGCGACGGAAGCCCCGCAAGTCGAGCAAGGGGCTTCGCCTGGGCATGCAAGAGTCAAACACGTGGTGGTAAACAAATAAAAAAATTGGGCCGCCGCTGCCACAAAATCGGCGTTTAATCAGCGGCCACGCTAATTGCGTCCATAAATTTGATCGAAACTGCGGGCATGCTGTGATAAAGAAAAAAAGGAAAAGGTGCTTTTCTTATCACCAAGAGAGTTTCCACGTTTGTTTTATCGCCTGCTGGTCGTGACGGCCGTCAGTACGTCGCCCCTCGGCCGAACACCTTTCCAATTAGCGATGACAATCTGGCTAACCCCTAGTCAGTTGATGTCCGACGCACCTGCTGCGACCAGGGGTGACGGAGAGCGGTCAGCTCTTTTTCCATAATGAATGGAGATTAATTTGAACCGTCACGTTTATGACAGCCTTTTAATTAGAATATAAATTTTTGAGCGCCGGCGTCCAAAGGGGTTAGAAATATTTTTATGGTTCATAAAAAAATTTATATATAAAATCCGTGTTTCTATTTCTCGTCTCATCCGCTTTTGAATTGAGCGTGACCAATTCTGCCCGGGAGGAATTAAGTGCCTGGTTTTTTTCAGTCCCTGGGCTTTGCGCGAACCGTTGCCTAATCCCTTCGCCCAGGATTAATGGTTGCATTGTAGTACCGAGAAATTGTGCTGGAAATAATAGTGTCATCTTTCGGGCACAGGCATGACAAATCAAAATTTCACCTGACTCATCTTTGTGTGTTTTCTGAGCCCCAAACTGCATCCTGCGTGTGACAGCTCCGAGGCGCCTGGAAATTTATTAATAAAAAAAATCATCATTTTCGGCATGGAAGAGAGAGTTCCGGTGACTCAATTCCTTAAGAAGATGTAAAAGGCCGCGCTGATGAAGTTTTGTCATAAATTACACACTTTATCCTGCTCGAGGTGACTGTCCTTAATTACCGGCGCGGCGATTAAGAAGTTTC